TGTCCAGTCTACTTCGTAATTTTGTTTTAGTCGCCGTTGCTGCAGAAAACCCCCTCCTCACATAGGTAGCATGTCGGAAATAGCAACAGTGCTACTGTGGCGATCTCAGAATATTCAGCCATAACTTCAATCCAGTTGTCTCGAACGTACTTGTAAGGCCGCCGTCATTTGCGCTCTCCAGCAGTTTTATTACTCATTTTGCGAGCTCTGGCGTTTTGTTTTTAGCGTAATCGGTCACGTGACGGAGAAGCGTGGCTTGACGTGTGTCAAGCGTGACACAGACGGATGTAACGGAGAGTCCGGTAATTTTTCAAAATAAAACATCTGTCGTATTCCGAAATAAATAAAACGGAATTAAGGCAAGTTCTTTCTGTGCGGCCCGGTACCAAATGACCTGCGGACCGGTACCGGTCCGCGGACCAGCGGTTGGGGACCCCTGATTTACACAACAGCTTGGTGTCATTACTTAAATTCCCAAGTGAAGAGTTGCCGCCGCGGCTGAGAGGGAGCCCTGGAAATTTGCTTGCTCGCGAGCAATCTGGTGGCTAGTGCCTGTCATTGCAGCATGGAAAGCCCAGTGATGACTCTTTGGGATATTTTCCAGTTAGCGGAGAATTTAAACGCATACATTTTAGGATGTGTAGGCATAAAAGAGACAGTACACAAAGCGGAATCCGCTTTTCAGCAGGATGTGGATTCATTCATTCGGTAGACACGCCCACATCATTCAAGAGAGCCTTATTTTATATATACAAAGTATTTTGGTAGGGTGATTATTGACACTTGTCTCTGTGGTGCATCAAATTAAAAAGACATCTACAAACTATTTTCACTTTACATGGCCTTTAGTCGGACTGTGAAACGGGAACCCACGTTGGTGAGGGGTTTACTGTTGAAGAAAAAGCAAATTGCATGTTCTCCACATGCCTGTGGGTTTTCTCCGAGTACTCCGGTTTCCTCCCACATTCCAAAAAACATGCGTGACAGGTTAATGGAACACTTTAAATTGTCCCTAGGTGTGAGTGTGAGCGCGGATGTTCGTCTATGTGTGCCCTGCGATTGGCTGGCAACCAGTTGAGGGTGTACCCCGCCTACTGCTAAAAGACAGCTGGGACAGGCTCCAGCACACCCCGCGACCCTTGTGGGGATTAGCGGATCAGAAAATGGATGGTTGGATAGATGGACTTTAAGTGACTTTAAGTGACTTTAAGTTTTAACATCAAGAGCAAATCAAGTCAAAAAATTTCTTGTATGCACCCCCACTGATCTAAACACAGCATTCTGATTGATATTGCTCAGAGCTCAGGTAACGATCAATTGCGGCTCACCTGTTTTCTGAGTTTGGTTGTGTGATGTTCGCAAGCTGAACTGCAATGATGTGACATTAACATTTCGCATCAGAAATGGGATGTGCTGTTCCAAACCGTATGGTAAACTGAACTGAAGTGATGGAAACCAAATGCACTGACAATCCCTTGTACCTCCATAGGTCAGTGTACAGAGACCCTTTGACTTAGTCAGTGAGAAAATAAGTTGATGCAGCTATTTCGAGGCTGGCAGCATTCACTGAACTTTTACACAGCCCTCTTTATCAGCGCCTGGCAGGCAGAGAGGAATTGGGAATCTTCTCTCTCACCTCCCATCTTCATGAATAACACGGGAGTCACCGGCTCAGCACTGATTGACATTCTATTTGGGGAATGTTCTCATCAATTCAAATTAAGGGAGGGAAGGATTTGAATAAATTGACGGCATTATCTGCGACAACGGCTGAAACCTGTCAATTTCTGCCGCCGCAGACCCATTTATCGGTCCTCCTCAGAAGCCATTAAAAAAATAAATAAATAAATAAAAAAAAGAAAAAAACCGAGGAGGCCGGAGCCGAATCGGGCGGAGAGATAAGATGAGGGTGGAAATATTTTCTGCTGAAATGAGGGATTCTGCAGTCAGGGACTAGTGTGGAAATTGTTTGCTGCAGGGTATGAAAAGGCAAAAAGAGAACCGCTAGCTGTTTTTTTTTTATAAATAGAACATGACGGCTAATGGCGAAACACACACTCACAGAGATGCCAAAACTACTCACACTTAGGTCGAAGTGCTGTGAATACACAACGCCTGTGCAGAAACCATCCATCCATCCATTTTCCAATCTGCTTATCCTCACAAGGGTCGCGGGTGCTGGAGCCTATCCCAGCCGTCTTTGGGCAGTAGGCGGGGGACACCCTGAACCGGTTGCCAGCCAATCGCGGGGCACACAGAGACGAACAACCATCCACGCTCACACTCACACCTAGGGACAATATTGAGTGTTCATGTTTTTGGAATGTGCGAGGAAACCGGAGTACCCGGAGAAAACCCACGCAGGCCCGGGAAGAACATGCAAACTCCACACCGGAGCTGGAATTGAACCCGGTACCTCTGCACTGTGAGGTCGACGCGCTAACCACTGGACCACCGGGCTGCCCTGTGAAGAAACCCTTCACTTAAATAAAAGTAAAAAGTATAGACTCTGAAATGTACTTCAGTTCAAAAGTAAAAATAATGGATTTTTAAGAACGATGTGAATGTTGTAACAAGCCTACTTTGATACAGTAAGGAGTAGAAATTCCAGCTTTGCATATGTTGAAGTGCAGTAGAGAAAGCTGAAAAATCAAATGCCACCACTGGCGCGCGCGCACACACACATGCACGCAAATGTATGTGTCGAAGCCCACGTTACTGCGAGTGTGATGCGGACTGTATTTTCTTGTACGATGACGTTTTGGAGCAGTCGCCATGGCAACACAGAGCATGTGCTCACCATTGGTGCTGACAGAAAAAAAAAAAAGTCATCACTGGCACACATGACTGCTCCTCCTCCTTCACGGTTAAGTGCAGCTAAGGCTGAATGGTCTCCAAGGCAACTGCCTCCCTCCTACCCTGCCTGGCTTCTCCTCACCTGTAGGTGATGTGCGTACGCTGCCACTTCTGTCCTGTCAGCGCATATCTCCGCCTCCGTGACCTCGAAGCACTTTTGAGCGTGTCTGGAACGCCGCAGCGGGGCTTCTGCATCCAACTGGAAACAGACAAAAGGAGATCATTTCAGGAGACCATTCACATATGACAGATCTCCACATCCATGTGAGGTCAACGTTCACTCCATCTCCCACGAATGTGCAATTGTAATTCAATAACAACAGTGTCAGGCTACAGTGAGGGTCTGCACAGTAATAAATTTCATTGCAGTGCCAACATATTGAATAAAAATCCACATTTTGCCATCCCATATCTCATACACCGCAAACCATTGAGTGTAGATACTAGTAAATTGGTTACCTTGAAAGAACTAAGTCATGAAAGAGGAAAACTTACATGCGTTTTTCTCAACTTTCTCAGTAGTTTCAATTATAAACACGATTCGACAGAACATGTTTCACTGAATAAATATAATGCTTATTTGTGACAACTTCAAATATTGAGTAATGACAATTATTTTTCCAAAATAATTTCCAGTTAAGTTGATTTAATTCTGAATCAATTACATTTGAAATATTTTGTATAATTTAGAGAAGAAGGGACTTTCAGCTTTTCCCAGTCATGTCTCAAGATATGTTTGGAGCACTTTGCACAGCCATCCATTTTTAGCCAGGTTAAGGAATCAGGGTACTGTAAATGCATGTCTTAGCTAAAGTGAACATTAGCATTGGCGCTGCCTGGGATTTGAACCTCTCTCCTTGTGTCCAAAGTCAGCTGTGTTACCCACAAGGCCATCCAGCCATCAAATCCCATTCTAGCCAGGTCACAAAAAAAAATGCTTGTGAATGTTGGGTTTTTCATCGGGGTTCGTGAAAGATTGCAAAAGGCTGCAAAAAATGATTTTCTCATCGCCAAGAAATTGTGAGCATGTTCCAAATGTTCCCTAAACTGAGCGTCCTTCGCTGTCACAGCACTTTGCAACGTTGATATGTTTCACACAGCTAACAAACTGTCGCCCGCCCAGAAATACATTTCTTCAATGTCACAACACTACTCGGTCAGCAAAAAATAACACAAACTAGTCCCGATCGGGCAATCCATTTTTGCAGTTACCAGTGTGTCCAGGTCTCGGGTTGAACATCCCACCAGCCAATCACTGACCCCCACTTCCTTTCGAATTAGGGCTGTGGTTTGGGGGGTAAGCTTTAATGTATTTATGCATTGTAATATGCACCTGAATTAGTAAAATGTGCTTGAATTACTCAAGTAGTGCAACAAAACTTTTTGATTCATGTGAAAATGTGGGTTTACAATGTAGGAACTTCCAATATTGTATTTAACACTGATATCTGCTTTGATCATGCAGTCACTGTGCAATGATCAAAGCATTGCAAAAAAAAAAAAAAATCATCATAAACGTTCATATGGTGAGAAAACTCAATTAGTGTGCTAGCATTTTAAACCAATTTGTGAAGTTGGCATATTCACTCGTGACAAATATTCTTTGACAAGTTTGTGCAAACTACACTACCACTTATGAGTGACACACACAGAAGGAAGGCAAGAAATAACGTCGAGGCTCACCTCAGCGTGATATCACTGCATCATCATGCAAAAATGAGAAGGACAAGTGTTAAAGCGTCACCTGCACGTTCATGGGCGTGTGAGGACAACACGGCTTATTTCTGTTCTTCACACACACACACACACACACACACACACACACACACACACACACACACACACACACACACTTTTGCATGTCAATGACAATGCGCCATACTCACTCCTTGGTTCTCTCATCCAGTGTCCCGGTGACATTGAGGCCATAGGCACGCTGCATGGCGGCGATGGCCGAGTGCACGGTTTGGGCTGAGCGCAAGACGGACATTTTGGGTTCTGTGCGGGGAAGGTAGCCATACCTCTGTAGCCATCCCTGTAAAGCGACAAAATTTGATTGATTTATATGTGACAGACAGACAGTAATATGCGAAAGTCATAAGATGGCTTTGTTGTTTTCAGATAGCTGTCAAACTGGGTACACAAACAATCATTCTGTGTTTCTGCCATTTATGTCAATTAATTGATCTAAAAGGATTCGATTGCATTTAGCAATTAGAAATACTTACCATTTGAGCCTATTGAAGCATTTATGTCTTTTGTCGACTTTGTGGCTAACTATTTGAAACTGTAGGTTATCTATCTATCTATCCATCTATCCCAGGGGTGTCAAACGTACGGCCCGCGGGCCGGATCCGGCCCGCAAAGGACTTTAATCCGGACCGCGAGATGATTATGTAAAGCAGTGGTGTCAAACAAACGGTCCGCGGGCCGGTCAATCAGGCCCCACAGGATAATTTAAAAGTGAAGAAAATGCATAAAAGACACAGAATAAATATTTTTTATAAGGTGCAATTCATTGAGTATCCGCTAGGGGACACTGTTTTGATCAGAGAAGAAGACAACAGCAGCCTCAGTCCATCACTGAGACAGACCCATGACAGCAGACGCTATCAATAGCACTCTCACATTTACACATTTAATAGCACGCTCCTTAGTTTGTAAGGTGTAGGCAGGGATTACATTTAGATTTTATATGCACGTGTAAATGGTTTAAAACTTCCTTTCTTTATAAATCTCGTTTAATCTTAAAGTGCATTACTATATTTTTCAAAACCAATTACTTGTTAAAGTTTGTACAATCAGTGGGATCAGTTGCAATGCATATATGTGAATGATAAAAGTAAATTGCACATTCGTCAAAGGAAATGTAAGGTGCTTCATGAAATGTTTTGTAAAAGATATGTTCATTTAATTTCAACATTTTCCTAATGTTCTTGTGCTTCTTTATACAGAAACAAAGGAAAGACATGTTGTTTTGGTTATTTATAGCAAAGTATGGTATCATTTTAATGGTCCGGCCCACTTGACATCTACCCAGGCCGTATGTGGCCCACCATGTGAAATGAGTTTGACACCCCTGATCTATCCATTCATCTATCTATCTATCTATCTATCTATCTATCTATCTATCTATCTATCTATCTATCTATCTATCTATCTATCTATCTATCTATCTATCTATCTATCTATCCATCCATCACTAGCAAGCAAAAATAGTAGCTTTCCAAAGTGGAAAATTCCAAATGTGGATCAAAATGGACCCCAAGCACCTTTTAACTTATACTCCGGATGAGCAAGAGTGTATGTACCAAGGAGGACACTTGTTCAGTTTTGGACAGAGTAACTCACAACATATCCACCATATTGATGTACCGAGTGCCCGTATCCGCTTCATCATCTGTTCATCCACCCTCGCATCCATCCTCGCATCCATTCACACGGTAACGAGCAGCCTCACCGCGGGGGCGGCCAATCAGAAATGTCCCTCCCCCCACCCTCCTACACTACCTATAATCCGTCGGTCCCTCCCGGTTTCCCGACAGCCTTGTTTATGATCCATTTCCTGCAGCCAGTGTGTATGCGTGTTTGTTTTTCCTGCGATTATTCCGAGCGGCTCGTCTCCCTCATGTATGGCAGCGAGGCGTAAAATTAATTCGGGGGTATGCTGGAATCCGCGACGAGGGGAGGCTTATATATCGGATAAAATAATGAAAAAAGAAAAACAACCCTAACAAATCTTATTATGCAACTGGCATGTGCGAATGGCTAATCCATTCCATCAACTTGATGTTAAGGCTTATCACTTTTGTTCATCAATGAATGCATTGCAGGCAGGCCCCAACAAAGCATGCATCTGTATCTGGGTTACATGCGGGCGCGCGCGCGCGCACACACACACACACACACACACACACACACACACACACACACACACACACACACACACACACACACACACACACAAGCACACGCGCACACAAACGCGCGCGCGCACAATTGAGCCTTGAGTGGCCATGTTGTGCTGTTGGTATTTCAAATTTGGATTTTTGGGGGTGCTGCTGGAGGAGAGAGCACGGTCGCGGATGGAGCCAAACAGCAGGGAAGGGCCGCGTATCTATTATGTATTTATGTGCATCCTACCTCGACGTTGAAGTGCTGGTGCTCCTCTCCGGACACTGCACACGCAATCCAAAGCATGAGATGCAAGCACAACGCGGCCGCCTGAACGCAATCCGATGGTTTCCTTGCACTGGAGGCGTCTAAGGTCATAATGACCCTCTTTAATCCCGAGTCTCTTTTATTGTTGTTGTTGTCCTGCTTTTCAGGGAGAAGCGTCCCGCGTTTCGCTTTGGCGTTTTTTTGCGTCAAGCTAAAGACATGGATGCATAGCGTGCAGCGTCCGCAAGGCGCGTCGAGAAGAAACTGTCCGATGTCAAGCACACATGAGGCGGCGTGTTCCATCCGCTGCCCTCGCCATCCTTGTATTTACATCACGGGCTCCATTTAGGCAGCAGCAGCAGCAGCAGCTGCGGCAGCATCAGCAGCATCACTGGGGCTGTAGGCAGGCAGTCTGCGCAAGACTGGCCGCCTCCTCCACCTCCTCCCCCTCCTCTTCCTCCTTCACGCCTGCGCTTTGATTTCGTGCATAAAGGAAAATGCACGGCGTCCGTAAAGGAAAATGTTTTTCAATGCGCGTTTGTTCTGACACTTAGATGGAAAATCTGAGGTTCCCTGGTGGGGAGTTGCTTCAAATCCCCTTTAAAAACCCCAACTAATAACAACGACAATTATTTAGGTTTTTGATCAGTCACCATAACAACGAAAAAAAAAATCACAAATGGTGACAAAAATACACATCAATCGTTTTTCTATTTTCATTCCCTAGCAAAACACAGCAGCAACATAGAGTAAAAATATGAACACATGTGACGTCAAACGTCTGCCCCGCCTCTCGTTGCCAGGCAAAGTTGTGTACACGCAGGTTGGCCTTAGAATGAAAACAAATGGGGAAGGTAAAGCTCTAACCCATGTATGTGTGTGTGTGTGTGTGTGTGTGTGTGTGTGTGTGTGTGTATATATATATATA